GAGGGTCCCAGCCCCCAGCTTGCTGGATGCACTGAGGGTCCCAGCCCACAGCTGGATGCACTGAGGGTCCCAGCCCACAGCTGGATGCACTGAGGGTCCCAGCCCACAGCTGGATGCACTGAGGGTCCCAGCCCACAGCTGGATGCACTGAGGGTCCCAGCCCACAGCTGGATGCACTGAGGGTCCCAGCCCACAGCTGGATGCACTGAGGGTCCCAGCCCACAGCTGGATGCACTGAGGGTCCCAGCCCACAGCTGGATGCACTGAGGGTCCCAGCCCACAGCTGGATGCACTGAGGGTCCCAGCCCACAGCTGGATGCACTGAGGGTCCCAGCCCACAGCTGGATGCACTGAGGGTCCCAGCCCACAGCTGGATGCACTGAGGGTCCCAGCCCACAGCTGGATGCACTGAGGGTCCCAGCCCACAGCTGGATGCACTGAGGGTCCCAGCCCACAGCTGGATGCACTGAGGGTCCCAGCCCACAGCTGGATGCACTGAGGGTCCCAGCCCACAGCTGGATGCACTGAGGGTCCCAGCCCACAGCTGGATGCACTGAGGGTCCCAGCCCACAGCTGGATGCACTGAGGGTCCCAGCCCACAGCTGGATGCACTGAGGGTCCCAGCCCACAGCTGGATGCACTGAGGGTCCCAGCCCACAGCTGGATGCACTGAGGGTCCCAGCCCACAGCTGGATGCACTGAGGGTCCCAGCCCACAGCTGGATGCACTGAGGGTCCCAGCCCACAGCTGGATGCACTGAGGGTCCCAGCCCACAGCTGGATGCACTGAGGGTCCCAGCCCACAGCTGGATGCACTGAGGGTCCCAGCCCACAGCTGGATGCACTGAGGGTCCCAGCCCACAGCTGGATGCACTGAGGGTCCCAGCCCACAGCTGGATGCACTGAGGGTCCCAGCCCACAGCTGGATGCACTGAGGGTCCCAGCCCACAGCTGGATGCACTGAGGGTCCCAGCCCACAGCTGGATGCACTGAGGGTCCCAGCCCACAGCTGGATGCACTGAGGGTCCCAGCCCACAGCTGGATGCACTGAGGGTCCCAGCCCACAGCTGGATGCACTGAGGGTCCCAGCCCACAGCTGGATGCACTGAGGGTCCCAGCCCACAGCTGGATGCACTGAGGGTCCCAGCCCACAGCTGGATGCACTGAGGGTCCCAGCCCACAGCTGGATGCACTGAGGGTCCCAGCCCACAGCTGGATGCAGGGTCCCAGCCCCCAGCTTGCTGGATGCACTGAGGGTCCCAGCCCCCAGCTTGCTGAATGCCCCAGTTCCTGCTGGCAGGTGCTCCTGATGCACACAGATTTGAGCCCCACTGTTAGGTGATCAAATGTCAGAGCAAGTGGGTACAAGCTGCATATGTTTCTATCTCCTTGTCGCCCCCTCGGGACACAGGAGCGGCTGAGCTGGTGTTTGTACAGAGAACAGGGCCAGGCGACAGCAGCTCCCGCCTGGAGAGAAGCTGAGAAAGCAGCGGAGGCCTGCGTTCCTTTGAAAGGCTTTTGCAGGGGCCCAGGGCGCACGAGCATTCTCTAAAGGGTATTTGTAAGCCGCCTTGTTTTCTAAAATCTTCCAGCTGCGGTTAAGCCGTGCGAGTGAAACTCTTTTTAAATGGGTGGCCATGGAGTAGAAAGTTGATAGGCAGGGAGTCCCCACGCGGCCTCCGTGGCCACGGGCTCCCACCCGCTCACCTGCTCTCCTCCCCTTTGGTTGCAGGTGGGAAGCTCTCGGTGGTCCTGTCAGCGGAAGCCGCCTCGGAGCTCCTGCGAGAACCCGCCACAGCCTCCCTGGCCAAGGTGAGGACAGACCTGCCTCTGCGACATCCCAGGAAAGTGCCATTTTCATTCCAGACGACCAGCTGGTGCTGTCTGTTGGCTTGACTTTTGATACGTGCCCTGTGGGGTCTGCTCTTGGGATTCACAGTGACTTTAGGTGAAATCCCCATGTTGGAGCCTCCGCTCCTGCTGGTCAGGTGTCAGCTTCTGCTCTGCTCGCTCTGATTTCTTATTAAAAGAGTCAAAATAGCGTGTTAGAAGGGAAGTCAGTTCATAGCAAAACAGGCACCAGGGCAGAGGGCTCATTCTTGTAAGTATGTGCTCCCTCGAGCCCCCATCCAGGTTTCTGCCTCCTCTAATATAACTTCTATTTTTAAAATCTTATTTATTGCTTTTTTTTTTATTGACAAGGGTGTCAAGACCAGTCAGTGGAGGGAGGGAAGGAGGGGAGACAGTCTTTTCAACAAATACTGGGAAAGCTGAATATCCACATGCAAAAGAATGAAGTTGGACCCTTACCTTACCCCGTATACAAAAATTAACTCAAAATAGATCAAAGACCCAAACATAAGAACTAAAACTATAAAACTCTTAGAAGAAAACATTGGGACAATATTGTGTGCTGTTTTTTAGCTATGACACTAAAAGTGCAGGTAACACAAAATAAAATAGATAAATTAGACTTCATCAAAATTAAAAAATTTTGTGCATCCAAGAATACTATCAACAGAAAGAAAAAGCAACCCAAAGAATGGAAAAAAATATTTGCAAATCATATATTTGCTAAGAGATTAATATCCGGAATATATTTTAAAAACTTCTAATTCAACAACAACAAAACAAACAACTGTATTAAAAATGGGCAAAGGCCCTAGCTGGTTTGGCTCAGTGGATAGAGCGTTGGCCTGAGGACTGAAGAGTCCCGGGTTCGATTTGGGTCAAGGGCACATGCCAGGGTTGCGGGCTCAATCCCCAGTAGGGGGTGTGCAGGAGGCAGCCAATCGATTCTCTCTCATCATTGATGTTTCTATCTCTCTCTCCCTCTCCCTTCCTCTCTGAAATTAATAAAAATATATATTTAAAAAAAATGGGCAAAGGACTTGAATTGATATTTTTTTCCAAAGAAGTTATGGCATGGCCAATAAGTACATGAAAATATGCTCTATATCAATAATCATTAGGAAATACAAATCAAAACCTTAAGATTTAAAAACACACAAGATTCCACTTCATACCCATTAGATGGATACCATTAAAAACAAAGAAAGTCACAAGTGTTGGTGAGGTTACAGAGAAACTGTAATCCTTGCGCATCGTTGGCAGGAATGTAAAATGATGCGGCCACTGTGGAAGACAGGGTGGCAGTTCCTCAAGAGATTAAACATGGAATTACCGTATGACCTAGCACTGGGGGTATATACCCCCAAAACTGAAAGCAGGGACTTGAACAGGTATTCCTACGCTCATTTTCATAGCAGCATTATTCACAACAGCCAAAAGGTGAGAAAAACCCAAATGGCTGTGGATTGACAAATATATACACAAATTATGGGACATACAAACAATGGAATATGATTCAACCTTGGAAAGTAATGACATTCTGGCACATGCCATACCATGGATGAACCCTGAAGACATGATACTACATGAAATAAGCCAGACACAAAACATAAATATTATATGATTCCACCTAGATGAGGGACCTAGAATGAGCAAGTCCACTAAGGCAGCGGGGAGGGTAGTGGTGACCAGGAGCTGGGAGGAGGGGAGATGGGAAGTTACTGTTCTGTGGACACAGCGTTCTAGTTTGGGATGGTGGGAAAGTTCTGGAGACAGATGGTGGTGATGGTTGCACAACAATGGAAATGTGCTTAATGCCACCGAACTGTACACTTAAAAATGGTTAATGGTAAATTTGTGTTGTTGATATTTTGCCACGATATTTGAAAAGTTCTTTTCTAATCTTTCTCTATGTCTTATAAACCTGGCATTGATGTGTTCAGTGTGCCCACACAGAGGGGCGTCCCAAAGAGAGGGCTCGGCAGGGTTGGAGGGAGGGAGGAGAGTGACCGCCCCTCAGGCGGGAAGCGTAGAATTGCACACAGCGTCCTCCACCTGCACCATCTGGGGCTCAATCCAGGGTGACACCAGCTCCCCACCCACTCCTGGCAGTCGAGGCTGGCAGCACCGGCAGCTCAATACTGCCGGGTCCCTGTTATTGAAGCATTTGGCCCAAAGGGAAAGGGCCTATTTTATGTGGAGAACTGCAGTGGGTTTGGGAGGAACAACTTCTCTTTACGGTGGAGACATAAATGAGCTGACCCTTCAGTG